GACCTACAACGATCATCCAGTCCAAATGCCTGATCACTTCAGGGCTGACCAAAAGTTAAAGCATTTTAAAGGCATTGTCCAAATGCCTTTTAAATGCTGACAGGCATGGGACATCAACCATGTCTCTAGGGAGGCAGTGTTGTCCCAAAAGTGGGATCATTTACCTGGTGTGCAGTACGCCAATATACACACAGAGCAGAGGTATTTTATTTATTTCATGTCTGCACAGAGATGGGTGCTAGGTGGTAGTTCCACAAAGCTAGCATACTACACACAGAATCTACCACATATTTATCTTGTTACAGGATTAGAAAAACCTGCCTAAATTTATGCTAATTGGTTATTAATTACCACATCATCTACTATTGGTCAAGCATCTTTAAATTAGCAGGCATGCTCCTTGAAGGTGTGGTGGCTGTAACTTGCATAGTCCTTTAATTGGGTAGGTGGTGGCAACCCCCCCCTGCCCAGCTGCCTTTCCCTTCCCCAGGTTACTGGTGATTCTTGTTGACTTCAGGCCTCTCTGGCAATTGCCCAGCTCTCAGTGCCTTCTGGGGCAGGCTGTTTCCTCTTTATCAGTTTTTCAGCTCTCCTTCACGGATACTCTTTAGCAAAGCATGCTTTTTATCAGTCTTTCAGCTCTTCTTCAAAGATATGGTCGTCAGCAAAGCAAGTAGTGCATTTAAACCTAAACTAAACAGTGTCTAAGCACTAAGCCAAACACATTTCTGTCCCTGTAAAGTGGAAAATTCTGCGTTATGGATATAAGCAGTTCCAGTGTTTGCCCAACCTCTCTGTAAAGAAATGCTTCCTAATGTCCAGTCTTAACCTCCTCTGGCACAGCTTTGAACCATTCATATGCATCCTATCACTGGATCCCAGGCAGAAGAGCTCAGCACGTCCCTCTCCATGTCCCCTCCTCAGGAAGTTGTAGAGAGCCATGAGGTTGCCCCTCATCCTCCTTTTCTCCAAACTACACAAGTCCAAAGTCCTTAGCCACTTCTCATAGGATGTTCCTTCCAGCCCTTTCAGCAGCTTTGTTGCCTTCCTCTGGATGCATTCAAGGGCCTTCACATTCGTCTTAGATTGTGAGGCTCAGCACTGCACACAGTATTCAAGGTGAGGCTACACCAAGGCTGAATACAGTGGGATAATCACCTCTTTTGATCAGCTGCTTATGCTGTATTTGATGCACCCTGGGACACAGTTTGCCCTCTTGGCTGCCAGGGCACAATGCTGACTCATACTGAGCTGCTGTCAACCAGCACAAGCACCTGGGATAATGTCCTATATACATTATGATTATATCCAGAACTCAGCTGAAAGGAATGATTTGTTGTATATATAGTACCAGAGGTTTTACTGCAGTTGAAGTGCCATAAATTTCATCTCTGTGGTGAATTTCTCCTCATGGAGCAACTTTTACAGTCCATATAGATGCAAATTTGGCTGAGGTTAGATGGCCATTGCCAAAATCGAATAGTTGCGGGTTTTGCTAGTATTTAATAAGTTTCAGAGTTAACTGTTGAATAATGATAGAAGAATCACATAAGAACACTAGTGCATTTGTGCAGAATGTTAAGGAAATTGAATGATATTTGCTTAAGGTATTGAGATAGAAAAATACAAATGTAAATATCATATGAAGTGTCTGGCTCTTAGAACTGCAGTAAAAAGGATTTAGTATAAGCTAACATAAAAAGAATACTCTTTTCTGCTTAAATTTACTTCTTGAATCCAAATTGTTTCATATTTACAGTGCACGTTGCATAATTTCAGAATATTTTTTAGGCCAGTAGGAGCAGGTTTCTTTAAACAGCAGATTTCCCTTGTATTCAATATACAACTTCACTCTTAATGAGTACATTTATTAGACTCCAAATGAGATGTAATATTTGAGCTGTGTCTTATAGTGAACTCAAAGCAAATGAAGCAGTTCAGAGGTCAGAGTTAATTCCATGCAAAGAGAGTTTTCAGATATATTAAATCATTTGCTTTTCCTTTTATTCACATTCCTGCACCTGACTTCTGCTCCTTCACATTTGTGATGTTGATAGTGAGGAGATAAAATCACCAAGATTTTAGTCATCTGACAATTAAATATCAAGCTGTCTTTAGTACATATATTTTACAATGCTGATGAATGATGATGAAGTTTCTACCACTTCACTGAATAGTTTTGGAAGTGATATTCAAAACTTCAAAGAACGATAGGCTTTTGGCTTGGACTTGGGAACTCTTACTCTCATGGACTTCGCATATTCTGTGCCTTCTCCTGACTTTGTGCGGGTTTTCTCAACAATGTAGTCAGTAGAACATACCTGACCTTGAGTTAAGCTTACAATTAAATATCAGAATGATTGTGAAACCTCAAATGAGAAGTATAATAGCTGTTGAAAAATACTTAGCTTTTATCCTTGAGTGCCAGTTTTCTTGACTCATAACAATTCTCAAAGCAAAATAGTCTTGGTTTTGCTCCAGTGGACAGTTTCCTGAAGTGCTTGACTAGAGCAGAATTGTCTGGTTGTGTTGATTGAGCTGGTGAGTGATGGTTTCTGTTGAAGACTCATGGTAGTGTTTTAACACTATCTATGAATAGAGAAAACATAGTTAGTGCTGGTAGGTTTGTTCCAGTTGGAAATTTAGGACCATGCTCCTCAGATGGCATTCCTTTATAGCTGAAGTAGTTCAGTTACAAGCTTGCTTTTAACCTGGGGTTTTTTGGGTCGGGGTTTGGTTTGGTTTTTTTTCTTCCTATTCCTTGACAGTACATTTGAAAAATGGATGTAGAAGGCAAGTTACATATACAAATTTCACTAAAGTGCTCCCCAGCTTAATCTATAAAGCAATCCAACTTGCCCTAATATCTAATACATATCATAATTGCTTTCTATGCTTTTCCTTCATGAGTAATCAAAATCAATTTACTGAAAATGTGTTTTGCTGGAGTTTGCGTTGGGGAATTGTTTTGCCTACAGACATCCAAGTTGCTATGACATTGTTTCAAAGATGTCTTTCATTTTCTTTATTCTTGTAGAACAACTGTAGTTTGCAATTGCAGTAAATGACAAGCAGATAACTATCCAGAAAACTGAGGTCCAGTAATAGGTTCCAGAAGTGAAGGTTTGTATTAATTTGTTAAAACCCCAGAAAAAAAGGGATGGGATTTCTCCTTAATATGACAAGTATATCATGGGTTCCGAAAACTTGAGACTTCCAGAACACCACTATGCTTCAAACACTGGATTATGTAGCTGTAATTTGTATGTTTGGTCAGGTTCATTGACCTGACTTGCCAATACCATTCATGCTTTGCTTCCTTATAACATGACAGGTATGTTAAATGATTTATTCTGCCCCACTTTGTAACCTGTACTCTGTTAACCTCTTTCCTAATGTAATGGAACAGAAAGTGTCCTTGTAAACTGATAAATGAATGCTGTTATTCTCTGGTGATGCACTCAGCACATATTGTTGGATGGAGAATTTGCACACTGATCCAAAAGTGATAAGGGTCAAAATAAATGATTTTTCAGTTTATTACTTGCATCTGTCACTGAGCATCTTTTTTGGTTTTTTACATTTAAGATGGAACGTGAGTGGTTTTAATGTGTATCTTGTCTAGACAGGGGTTGCCTACTAATTTCTAGATCAAGTAGTGATTTCTGATATTACTGGAAAGGTCTGGATTCTTCAGTCTCTCTACTCTCTAGAGGAATTTTGTGCAATCCTCCAAGTCTACCTCTTGAACGATGAAGTTGCACCACAGAGTTTGTAGCTGTTAAACCACTTTTTTTTTCCCTTTTCTTTTCTTTTCTAATGTTCACCTATGAACTCTGCTCTCCCAGGCAATTTAGGATAATATGCTATTTCTCTACCTGTCTGTCTCATCTTAACATGCTTCAGAACCCTCTGGCTGAGAACATGGTTCTCCTGGCAGCAGCTTCTCCTTTTCAGTTCAGTTCCATCTTTGCAATGTGATTAAGGCTTCCTTATGTTCCCTGCTGTGCTACATGTGCTGCTAGTTTGAAGTTAAATTCTCTTTGAAACAGATCCAATGTTTTCAGGCAACTTATGTGCATTAATTGTTTCTGAGTTGAATAGTTGAAGGAAGTCAGTAGTCTCTATGAGGCCAAAACTGTCAAAAATACACTCCCTCACCCGTGAAGCTAAGGTACATATTAACCCAGTGCTTGATTTTATAAATGAAGAATAAATAAAAAAAAGGAGGAAGTAACAATTATGTTCCATATTTCATACAAAGATATGCTGAAGGCATAACTAGACTTTTGTCTAGGGAAGGTCATAGAATGCATTTCTTCCCCCCCTCCCCCCAAAGAAGAAAGAAGTAGACATGGTTTTGTCCAAAGAAAAGAGGTTTGTATAGTTTCTTGCTAAAAGTGGGCAGTTGTATTTGCCTTCTGCTTTTTAAGATGTTTTGGAAGGGAATGAAAAGAAAAAAAAATCTGAGGTAAAAAACTTTAGTTTAAGTACAGTACAAGCTGAAATTATTGTTTCTTTTGAGATTAATAAAAAAATTACATTTGGTTTATGTTTTTGTATCAACAGCTACACCCATCCATTTATTTAAGTATGGCGTAGATAGCTTAGTTTTATAAGTATCAAAAACAGTTTGACAAGCCAAGCAATTAAAGGTTTTGTAAAAACTTTTTTAGAGTTCAGCTGATTGCTAGCTAAGGCAATTTGATTAGTCCGTAGCCCTTATAATCACTATTGTAGCAGTGCTGGAAATGCTTATTTGGTAACTGTGATGTAGCATTCTGATTCTTCCCACTGGCAACATAAATAGCATTGATTTTTTTTTTTTCTCCTTAGGCATTTATTTTAAGAATGGCACTGAAATATCTTTTTTTGCCACCTCAGAATGAAGATTTTTTTCTTACCTGATCAAATGGTATAAAACCCAAAGGAGAGAATAAGCCAGGCTATTGTAGTAACTTATCGCTTTCTGTTATTTTTATTTTGCTTTGTTTTAAAAGGACTAACCAGCCGGGAATGTTCACAAAGAAAGAATTTGATCAGTTGGCCTCAGTGATAGACAGCTTCAGTCTCATGACATATGACTACTCAACACCACAACGGTAAGACTCCAGCTATCATTAGAAAAAGATTGCTGAAGGAACTGATTCCCAGTTAAGTGACTATTAAATCTACAGCATGAGTTCATTTTTTTAGTAAAGTGGATAGTGTGTTTAAACTGTATCAGATACTGACATTTTGGATTAGTAATTAGGATAGATGATTTTTGAATAATAACAATAACTCAGGACATTGTTTTAACAGCAGTGTAGATTTGGCACCCAGATATTGTGAAAGACTTTGTATTAAAGCTAAAAAATTATCCTTTTACTTGTACTGTGACAGTTATTCTTTTCCAGGTCAGGTTCTTTTGATTTAGCTATTTAGCATGGTTCTGCAGGTTAGGTACAGAAATAATCTAGTACATATTATTGTTGAAAAAACTAGCTTTAAAGTACAATCGACAGCTTATTTGCTTCATCTTGAGGGAGCAGACTGCCTTTTGGCAGTACTGCTGATGTAGACATGCTTAAACATGGTTTTCCATTCATCCACCAGTCCCTCCCCTGTACTGATACAGCTGCTTGTGCAGCAGCTCATCAAACCAGATCAGGGAGCTGATCTGACTGAAAAATAACACAAACCCTCACTGTTGTACATGACTATTCATTTTCAGGAACTTACTATGTTTAACTGTGTGAAAGTGGAACAGCAATGTAGTTGAGAGGTCCTTAAACTCTGCAGAGTCTCTTTATGTTACTGTTCTCCAAAAGCATACTTCGTTTCACCTCCAAATTGCAGGAAAGGATAAAGTTTTGGAATTCCTGGGAGATTCTGTATTTGTTGCTTCAAGGTGGCTGTCCAGAGTTAATATTTGTGTAAACTGGCAGATTTAGAAATGCCATCATTTTTGTGTTTATTACATCACTAAAACCTTTGTTACCTGTAGTATGTTAATGTTTTGAAAATGTCTAGACAAGTTTAAGAGAAAGGAACTTTTACCTCTTCTGAAAAGAATTTATGTACCTCCTTCCTATCTCTCTCCAGACCTGTGTCTACATCTTCAAGCCTAGTGACCTAGTGGAGAACAAACATAGGCAGTAGTGCGTACTGAAGTTAGAACAGTTTGTTTTGGGTTGTTTTTTTTGTTATGCTCCTGCTGGAATATGCAGCATAGATGTATCCAGTTTAGCTTTCCTCTGGGTAAATCTGACATTTATGAAGATGACGCGCTAAGGGCTTTTGTACAGTCTATACAAACCCATCTAGAACCATGAATGAATTTTGAAATACTATGCTGTGGGTTGCGTCTTTCTTGTGTGGTGAAGCTACACCATGTTTTATGCCATGTTAAAATCACAGGTTCTGTTATGGTACAGTCACAACTTCATGATTTTGCTGGTGCTTTAAGTTACTTAAATCTGACTTAGAGCTGCTAATCTTTTTTTACTTGAAAGGAAGAGGGAAGCATTCTTCATTTAACATACCCATTGTATTTGAAATAAATGTAGTTTCTGAGATGTAATACCTTTAGTCTAAGAAGGGATTTGATAAAAAGAATTCAAATCTTTTTTGCTTGAATTTGCTTTGATTGGTCTGAGTATATGAAATACAAGATAATACATATCTTTTCTCACAATTTTTTTGCCTTTAAATATGAACACAATTTCCAGCAACATTCCTATACTGTATTAGCATATTGAGTTTTAATGGCACAGGTGTCCTGAAGGCTTTGAAGCAGATAATTAGTAGGCAGTAGAAGATGTTGGTATTTGTAAGACTAGAATATGCTTTTCCTTATCCTTGCGATAAATCCTGCTCTCCTCCCTGATGAGATAGGAATGGAATAAGCACAATATCCTGATACTGTATATATGACAGTTCAATTACTCTGTGTATTAAGGTTCTACTCTTTTTCCTAATGTAGCTTTTTACTAGGTAATTGCCTGTTTAGGATTTTATCCATAAATAAATGTTAAACAATCATTGAAACGTGTATTGCTTACTAGTCACTAAGTTTATAGTTCTTTCTGTAAGCAAATGGTGAATTTTGTCATGGTATTTTGTGCCAGTTCATAGTAAAAACATTGAGGATGGTATTGGAGGAGGCTAAGAATGAATGTGTACTATTTTTGACAAACTGTTTGATTTTTGCTAATTTGACAGACCTGGTCCAAATTCCCCTCTTCCCTGGGTGCGTGCTTGTGTTCAGGTACTGGATCCTGATTCAAAATGGAGGAATAAAATACTTCTAGGGCTGAATTTCTATGGCATGGACTATTCTGCTTTGGGAGCCTCTGGGGAGCCAATCCTTGGTAGCAGGTAAGACTTCTCTGGATAGTGAGTACTTTTATATATATATATAGTCACAAAACTCAGAGATTCACAGGTATTCTTGTTTAGAAATATGGATGTGTTAGTAACATAGGAATGGCAAAAGTTGTAAATCTGCACATAAAGTAGTAGCTCAACAGTTAGAGTAAGACTGGTAACTTCTCTTCCCTGTACAGAAGTGCAGATATATGCCACAGTTATCCTATCAGAACATCTATGGAAAAATGGTTTGTGTGATTCTCCCTCTTTCCTCTGTTCATGTTTGTACATGCAGTTTGCCATCTTTGTGTTAAAATGTCCTGCAGTATTCTCTTATGCTCTGTATCATTTTGGGAGTTCATGCAGTTGACCTAAAGATTGTTTCTCTCAGCCCCTGAAGTTGTTTTACCTGTTACTTTGAAATTTGATACTGATTTCAAACAGTGATATGCCACCCAGTTTCTTTTGAGTAGAAAAAACTGCAATAAACTCACCTGGAGACAAAAATCTATAACAAGATAAAGGGAAGTATTTCAAAGCCAGTCAGAAATTTTATATTGATTCTCAGAGGAAAATGGTTGGTTTAGTTTTGGGTAATAACCACCTATAATAACAGTGAGCTTTGTAGAAATACAGTCAGGGTACAGTACCTCAAGCCAGAAGAAAAAGCAAGAAAAAACAGTGTGAATTTGGCAGGAAAATCAAGTGCGTTCAGAAGTTCATTATTAATTTATAAAATAGAACCAAGCCAAGTGGAAACAAACCTAAAGCATGACAGGTGACTGTTCTCACTTTCACAGGTTACTAAGTTCATTATATCAGTATATTTCAATGTAGTAACAGATTGTTTGTTAAGCATTGAAATATTATCCAAGGTCAATTGTATAAGGCAAGGGCCTGAATTTTTTGTGTCTTGCCTTCAGTTAACGCAAACACTTGGTCATCATTGTACTTGCCTCTGCTGTCTTCCTGCTTCACCTTGGCTGTTTGCAGGGGTGTAATACTGTAGACACAGTTTTCTCCCAGTGCTGAATTTTGTCTGAATCTGGCTGAATAACAGAAAATGACTACGGGGTGGGCAAAATAAAGACATTGCCTACAGTGAAAGGTATATAGTGAGTATATCAGAATGGTTTCTGTGAAGTTAGTTGTAGTGGTTAGGAAAAATACTAAATAGTCAAAGCGTTATTGATTTACAAGCCTAATTATACAAGATCAGCTCAATTAATGTAGCTTCACCGTAATATTGCACTATCTAGCAGAATAAAAAGATCTTCTTTTTTTCTGAACTGCAACTTCTGGAATGAGGTTTCCACTTGAAAACATACTGCACATTAGGATGGCATCTACTTTTACTTTTCATAGATTCTTCTGGACTATATTATAGTATTAATTCATGTTGCTCTTTAATTAATGGTAAAAATTTCCTAGCAGAGAGTCATGTATGATTAATCTTTTACTGAAGGAGGCTATGTTTACCTGTATTTAGGGCACTGGCACACAGTACAGGACAATATATTTTATACAGAGAATGGTCCTCTTAACATATTTTTCATTACAGACCATGGTATTGTAATTTTTCAGATACCTACCAGAAGCAAGATTCTGGACAAAGTGTTTAAGAAACTTTGAATTTATACATAAACCACATTAATTTTCACTTCGCTGCCTTATCTACCAAACATTGGTCAATGGTTAAGTTTATTGTTACAGAAATGTATTTTTGAGCATGCACAGTATTAATCTTTGCTGTATGTCATGCGTATTTATGTAATAGTAAAACAGGTTCAAGGTAAACCAGCTTCAAAATAGACCAAGGTTTTGACATTAAAAAAAAAAAGGCAAACAAAACCCAAAAAACAACACCCCACCAGAAAGAGCAACAGAAAAAAGTTACTAGTGTAAAATAAGCTTTCTGCCATTTAATTATTAACAGTCTGTTTGTAAGGAAGTCCTAATTTCTAGCAGCTGTGAGTCTTTGAAAACTATCACTATCATATCCAATTGAATACCACAATGGGCACAGCTTGTTCAGAGATGGTCCTCCCCCCTCCCTCCAAAAAAGCTTTCTTATTATTCCATTATTAATACTCTGGCTACATCAGGATTTTTCTTTCTCTGATAAGACACATGGCTGAGGCTGATCCTATTCCTTCTCATTTTTGTATCTGGCTCACACTACGTAAAAAGGCTGCTCAGAAGCTGTGTCCAGTGTTGAAGTGGATGGCTTGATTATTTTTCTCACCTTGGCTCCTTAGTGAATTTGGGCTTCCTGTTTCTTGGTGACTATAACCCAGTGTTAGTCATGACCTGTAAAAAGTGTTGAAGGTTTGAGTCATGGCTCCTGTATGGCACCCTCCATATGTTGTAGTGATAGTGATGTTAAGCTGAAGTACTGGTATTAAAATTAATTCAGAATCTAGTCAGTTAAGTGCAGTATGGTAGGTATCAACTTTTTTTGTTGTAGGTTTCTCTTCAGGTTTTTGCATCTGAAATTTATTGCATGTACAGATTTCCAACATACCAGTGCTCCTTGGCACACTGTAAGGTGCACACTGTTGTCTTGAAGCATATTCATCAGAATCTGATCACCTTTAATAAGAGAGCTGGAGAATTGCAAGCTTCAGTGGTAAACTATATTCTCAAGTTGTTTGATGTAAATATAGTAGGCACTTAAATTGATTATTAGTATTGTTTATACATAGGATTCATACAGTGTAAACCTTTGCTGGTCTCATGTTTGTGTTTTCCTTTAGGATAGGAGTTATGTGATGGAAAGAGGCTCTGACCATAGGTCGATTTCATTCACTGAATATTTTTTCAGTCCAGAAGTTCATAAAATAACTTTCAATAGAAATCCTATTTGCATAAAATTATCTGGCAGTCTTTTTTAATTGCAGAATGTAATCTAAAGGTAGAAGTACTTGGTTACCATTTTGCTGAAAAGATATACAACCTTTCCAATATCCTTTTTCCTTCATACATGCCATAAAAACTAATACGTGTGTATGTACTTGTATATGTACATATATCAGGATTAAATGAAATAAACAGAATTTGTCTTTCACAGCACGATGTAGTTTGTCTTTGAGTGTTATTACAGCTATATATTTACAGTAACAATGTGTTCATCTTGCAGCTTGGTCACAAGTATTATTTGTTAATACAAGTCAATCTCAAACATTTTAGCACATTCTGGTGCTTTAATCAACCAAGTACTATTGTTGTTTAGCTGCAGCAAAGCTACATTCCTTTGTATATTTAGTTCTGACATAACTTGTATGAAATGCTAAGTCTGAAATAAAGGTGTTGTGCCTGTGATTCCCCAGATCACCTCTGGTGCTTCTAGCAATGTTTTCTGCCCTCTGGCTGTCAAGAATCAGGTGTCTAAACTGTTAAGATGCAGTCATTAAAACCTACCACTGTATTAAAATCCTGTTAGAATATAACCATCTGGTGTTGCTGACTTGCTGCTCTAATGATGAATTTGTTCCAGCATGTGCTCTATGGATACTGCAACCTGACAGTTTTTCTTCTTCACCTCAAAAGTGTTTGTCTTTGGCTAAATAATTCTTCAGTATACCCTGAAGCTTAAGAAATTGTTTAGCCTTTCTGCAGAATCTTTAGCATTGAGTCCTTTTTGAGACCAGCAGGCCCCTTGATCTCACAAGCTTCTTACTTCCAATCTACTTTTTTCGCCTTTGGTTATCTGCTCTTCAGAATCTCTCTTAATCATTGGGACATTATATTTCAGTTGCAGTAATACCCATTGTTTTCTTTTGCCTTCTCATGGGAGGTTGGACAGCAATGCAGTAGTGTTCTCCATTCCGTGCCATCTAAAATCTGTAGCCTTTGTAACCTGGGCCAAAAGGGAACTGGTAAACTTCATTGCTAGCTGTGAATTAAAAGCAATGTAAATCAAAGGCTATCACGTGGTAATGGTGCCACTTACATTTAATAACTCAGCCTTCTTTGAGCACATCCCTGCTAAGTTTAATGTGTTAAAGACATTTTGTCTTTTTTTTGTGTGGTGCTGAAAGAGGGAAGATAAATCTCTGATGTTCCATGTGGCTGTATATAACCTTCGAATATATTCTGCACCCAAGCTGCTTTTGTTCCAAATGTAGCTGTTGAAAATAGATAAGTGAATAACTCCGTTGTTGTGAGACAATGCTGTGTGTGCTTACCTTTTATTTAAAGGAATCTGAATAGGGATTTTTATGTTAATTTTTAAACACTTAAAAAGATTGATATAATAAATTGCCAGTTGAAGCAAGGGAGAAACTAATTTGACAGTGCATTGTGCTATTCAGAGATAGAAAATAAGATGACTTGCAAGCTATGTGAGGATGGAGAATTCTACTGAGAATTTTATTGGCTGCCTGTCATTCTGTAAATAGCAGGTAATAAAATGTGGTACTTAGAAACAGTTAAAGGTGAGCTTTTTCCCTGAGTTGCCATGGCATCTTTATTAGCAGCAATTTAAGAAGATTTGGGCCAACTGTGACTCATGATTTTGTCTTACAGAAGATAGCAAAAAAACTTGTGCAAGGGAGGCTTTTACTCTTCAAGCTTTAAGGCTTTTGCAACATTTCTTTTCATGCTGTAATTCTCTCAGGATTTCCACTGTTTCCCTGCACACCACAATTGTGTCTCCTGATGGCTCATCATTTATGTAACATTGGGGAGATACTAATATTTCAAATACACAGATGGACCAATTAGCTCTGTAGGATTGAAGATCCTCTTGATCTGTTGTCCACCTCTCAGCTTCGTTGGAGAAACTGTTAAGCTCTTCTTAAATTGTACTACTGGGTCAGATGGTAAAACTGTGGCAGTGATATGAGGAAGTTAAAATTGGGCCTGAAATTGGAAAGAAGGTATTTCTATATTACAAATATCTAAATAATTCAGGAATGTTTTTATTCTATTAAATTTCCTCTGGGATATTCTGTGTGGCTTCCATGGTGTATCTGGCCCTCCTTTAGGAGTGGAAGATGAGTGTGACCTGTC